TAATGTGACCTTGACCTGACCTTCGCTACGCAACCCAAGGTCAAACTGATGTGATCAGTAAATACATCTTTTTAAACGCCACAACTTTTATCTGAAACATTTTTTTCTAAAATGCTTAGTTTTCGAGATATTTCACCGGTCCGGGACTTTTTGAACACCCTGTATAATTGAATCTATTATTTTTTTTAATTAGGGGAGTTCTCTTCTCGTTACGCTTACATATCTCTTCCTTCTCTCCTCCCATCATTTACTTGGCAGATAGAAAAGTTCCGAGTTATGAAGGAAAATGATCAGTACATTAAGAAGTTCGTATTTGCGGAACGCTCCAGTATATAGGCGGAACAACGTTCCTGAACGTTTTCTAAAGTTCCCTCCGCGGTTACTCGATTTTCACGTTGAGCCAATATTGACAGGGCATTCTATTAATTTTCGATAGTCAGGTTATTACGAGAGAAACTAATTACAGCGTGGCTCACGAGTCCCATCGGGTGATATAAAGGAGAGATTAAACTATTATATCATTATTAACTTGATTTCTTTAACGCAGGGAGAAGCTTCTCCATTAACCTTGTTAAGCACATAAAAGCGTCGAGCATCGGCAATCGCACGGTCAAAGGAGCAGAGAGAAAGAGAGAAGGAGAGAGAGAGAGAGAGAGAGAGAGAGAGAGAGAAGTCGGAAATCGTGGCTCGATGTATCGGCAGCCGGCCGTATTAATACAATCTGCGCTTTTCGGCTGGCCAGCGTCGATGGAAAATTGGAAAACCGCAAAGATCGTCGTCGTTGATATTTTTGGCCGTTACAACGTCCGACGAGGAAGCCGATCACTTTCGTCTAACGTGATGTTGAGGACGCTCCCGCCTCGATTAGCGACGACGGCGTATACATACAGAACGAACGAACGGCCGGAAGCAATCTCGGTGCGCGTTCTCCCCTCGCGTCGCTATCTCCGCGCTATTTCCACGCGGTTATACCCCGAAAGGGAGAAGCGGCGGCAGCAGCAGCAGGGAAAGACCTCCCTCGTTTCCCGTCCGCGCGTTTCCAAGTCAGTCCGAGCGATTACCGGGATATCGAGGCAATCTCAATATCGCGTCCGCGATATGTATATTATACATATTTACATGTATATACGCGTATCTGCACCCTTGCCCTTGCGTTCGCCCTCCCCCTACCCTCCCCATCTCGTCGTCATCTTCGCCTTCGCCGCGACGTATATATTACAACCGTAATACCAGATGCCGTGTGAATGTGTGCACGTATGCATGTGGGGCGTTCGCGCATTAGTAGTTTCCTGGGCAATCACAGACCGGAAGTTGTCCCCAAAATTATTAGTCCGAAAAACGGATACACGGAGCCGATACACGTATGCACTACACGCCTCTCTGTAGCGCGCTCGCGCGGAAGTTGCCTCCATCACGTCGATGATTTTCCTTCGGGAGAGAGAGAGAGAGAGAGAGAGAGAGAGAGAGAGAGATCTCGCGTCCGACGAGCTTCTCCTCCTCCTTCTGCTCCGATATCTAGGAAGTTCACATTACCCTATCCTGCCCTTCGCTACGGATCGCGACGACGCGCCCGTTAATTCTCTGTAACCGTCGTGCACTTCAATGTGCGTGATTTATATACGCGCGGGGAAGCGCGCGTGTCGCTTAGAGGCATGAATGTAAACGTCGCACGTCGAAAACGCAATGATAACACTCGATAAGTTTGAACGGCGTATAACGCCGCGTTATATCCGAGCGCGAGAAGGTAATTCGCTCTGAGAATACATCGCCCGCGTGTGTCGCGGCGCGAATAGACGAATAAGTAAATAGGTGCGACCCGCGCGCGGTTGAGGGCACGCGCGTGTTTGTATTCGCGCCCGTTGTTGGTGGTCGGGGGAAGGTTAAAGCTCGCTTCGATTTCACGCGTCGACCTTTCTCAGCGCGAATCCTTAAACTTGCAGAAATAACAGATCGATGAGCGCGCGTTTCGTGAATAGAGCAGATAGTAAATATCGAGGTCGCGAGAACAAAGTGCGTGTCGCAGAAAGAAGTGCTCCCGCTGCGACATCTCGTCGTTGTCGTCCTGGCGCGGCAGCTTTTGTAATCCCTTTGAATCCATTCACCCTTCCAGCAGCGCAATTAATTTCAATTAGAATAAATAGGCTCTCTTACTAAGCCTACTAACTCTAGAGCTTTACTTAAGTTGAAAAGAACATGACAAAGAACCGAATCGCGGTTGTTTGATGCGACTATCATATATTATATTACTTTTCATGGAAGGATCTCTTTCAAACAAATCATGACACACGCGCCGAATATTTTTCTGGACCTTGACACGCGGTGAATCTTTCCCTTCCCTGTTCAAACTACTTAAATTCCCTTTAATTCCCAATTAATTAACTACGTTAGATTCCCATATCTTATTCCCAAATTATTTAACTATTACTTGACTTAATTAACTATTATTTGACTCAATTTCTTACTATTAATTAGATTAATAATGATATGATTTCTTCCCGATGTTTCCTGCGCGCAGCCGACAATCGATGTCTAACATTCGCTGAACGTTGTTGAATTTGACAGAAATAGTCGAGAAGTCGCATTAGAAGGCGATGTAAAAGTGTCATAGGGAAATTCGTCTAAGATGTGCATTTTCGTCCGCATGTATTCGCCGAAGAAATATACACCAACCATCTGTCAACGTCGAGCCGGCATTAACGGATTCATTTCTACGGTATTTATTTCGCGAGCGAGTGAGTGATGACGACGACGTTCGGAGGACCCGATGTGGCATTTCAGATCTCCAGCTTCGCGTGGTACTTCAGCCGCGGGGGTAAACTACTCGAGTCCCGATTTCGATCGGAGAATGCGCGCGTGACGAACGGCTCGTTAGATTCGGCGCGACCCGTACGCGACGGCACGCGGCACAGATCGAGGCAAAACCTCAAGCTCCACTCCGATCGTTTACGGAATTTTGCAGGATTCCTGCGGAACGTCGATCGAGCCGTGCGGCTGCCTCAGTCTTGGGCCCAAGAGCGCGGAAAATGAAGATGATCGGCAGGGAAGTCGCGCTCCGTCGAACTGGGTCGTCGCATTGAAATTCAAAACAAGACTCTGCCATGCGAGGCTTCCGGATTTAAAGGCGGACCACCACCGCAACCATCACCACCACCGCTACCATCATCGCCACCGACACCATCAACGCCGTCGCCACCATCATCGCCGTCATCAGCACCGCCGTCAGCACCACATCGCGTTCGTTAGATTCGCCCGTCAAGTCAGGTCCGTTTAACGAGTCGGAAATCCGAGGGAGAAAGCGGAACAGACGACGCTGTCGGATGGCCACGACGACGTCGAGGCCGACGCCGACGCCGAGGCCGACGACGACGCCGAACGACTCGACCGGAACTTGAGTCTGAAGCGGAGATAACCGCTCCCGTCTCGATCTCGAGTCGTTTATTGGAGCAACAGGAGCGCCCGGAGAAATCACGTCCGGTAATCGCATCGGCCGCCTCGAAGGCTCCCTCGAGAATTCCCAATCTTCTTCCGACTGGCGTCCGCTCGTCCGATAAATAAGAAGGAAGAAAAAACTCGACACAAGAACCCGAGGAAGCATCGAGAAAGCAACAGAGAGAGAGAGAGAGAGAGAGAGAGAGAGAGAGAGAGAGAGAAGAGAAAGAAAAAGAGAAAAAAGAAAAAAAGAAGAGAAGCATCCGGGGTGATAGGAAAACGATCGGGAGATCAGTACCAACTCCCCTGAGAGCTCTTCGGCCTCTTCGTTTCACTTCGAAGGGATGTCTACTATGGTCAAGTGTGCGTCGCGCGATCGACGAGATCGACGAAACGACGGACAGTCCCGTTTAACACCGTCGAGTTCGCAAATCCGTGGCATCGAAGGACACTCCCGGTCGCCTGCGTCCTCGTCACAAACAACTCTGACGAGCACACGCTTGAAGAGACGACATGTCGTACGTCCCGCGAGATCGTAGACCGGGGTGAATCACTGAAGAACCGACGAAGCTTTGCGTCGAAGAAGACACGGAAAGTGTCACAGGTGCGTGTGTGACACGCGTGAAAGGCGACAGTCGCGAAGACACCCGCGGGGAGGACGACTTAGAGTCGTCGCCGTGTCTAGAGACCGTGTCGAGAGGACGAGAACGCGCGCAGCGTTCTCAGTAGCCACTTAAGATGCACCAGTGTGCGCCTTGGTCATTGCTGCTCCTGATCACGCTGCAGCGATTGCCGGTGCAGTCGAGGATACACAGCGAGCGGGAGGCAGTGTTGATACCGGGTGACATCGTGTTGGGCGGATTGTTCCCCGTGCACGAGAAGGGTGGCAGCAGTGCCTGCGGGCCCAGCATCTATCACCGCGGCGTGCAGCGTTTGGAGGCGATGCTGTTCGCCGTCGATCAGATTAATCGCAAGAACAACATACTGCCGGGCGTCACGCTGGGCGTGCACATCCTCGACACGTGCGGTCGCGACACATACGCGCTCAATCAGAGCCTGCACTTCGTGCGCGCCTCGCTCTCCAATATTGACATCAGCGTGCTGGAATGCGCGGACAAGTCGACGCCGAGGGTGAAGCGGACCGCCAACGCGGGACCCATCTTCGGGGTGATTGGTGGCTCCTACAGCTCGGTGTCGCTACAGGTGGCGAATCTGCTGAGGCTTTTCCACATACCACAGATTTCACCGGCCTCCACGGCGAAAGCGCTCAGCGACAAGACCAGGTAAAGACTCTCCCGTTCGAATTCCTAATTAAAAGTTTAATTTTCTGAAGATTGAAGATATTGGGAATTCGTACAGAAGATTTGTCGCGTCTTCTCAACTTGGAATTTCAAGAAGTCTTGATTGGATGGTCTCTGACAATTAGAACAGCTTGGTTTATCAGTTATTTTATTTCGATCTTTTATAAAATAGAATTAAAATGATTTTAACATTTTACTTTATGTTTCATTTGTGAGTTTTATATTTTTCACTCGATATTTTTAGTATTTTATATATTTTTTTATTTTAAATAAATTTCAAATTTTTTCAAAAGATATTGGTATTTTATAAAATAGAATTTATATCCAGTTATTTTAATATATATGTTTTTTTATTTTATATAAATTTCAAATATTTCCAGGGGAAAAGAGAGAAAAAAGAGAGAGACATTGATGAAATTGTATTTCAATGAGCGATCTTAAGATCGTAGTTTAAAATAAACCACAAGTCGACGTATATCTCTCTCTATTACTATTTAAGAACTATAAATTCTCGTACGGATTAAATGTAAGTCAGTGAACAGTCACAACGGTCGTTTGTTTAACGGCATGTAATGATACCTCATCTGTTATCGTTAAGTGAAGCCTTAATCGAGCTGAAAAAAGGATCGCTGTACGGCGATTCGAAACGGCCCGAGGTATTTTCCGTGTAATTTGACCGTACGAACGACTCGTCAATCATTTTTTCCAACCTACGACAATCACAGTTTCCCGAAACTACTTGCTTGTCGAACGATCGACCGTGAACATCCCTTCTCCTTTGCGGACAGACGAACGAATCGTGAAAACCACCCGCCGATCGACCACGAATGTCAGCCCGGATCGACGTTAGATCACTCTCATTATTATACGAAATTGCTTCGTGTGCTTGGCTACCTCTTTTGCTCTGATATATATATATATATATATATATATATATATATATATATATAGGTGCATAAATAAGTAATCATTTACGTAGTTAGCAGGTAATCCCTGCAACCATAAAATACGAGTCGACACGACAGCGACTTAGAGAACGTGAAATACGTGAAATACGTGATACGAAAACATGACGTGGAGTTGAGAAGCACGTTTAGCAGTTAAACAGAATTATACGTTTAATACACGGAGAGAATGTTACAGCTTTCTTTTTTCGTATAAATCACTTTCACTTCTACTCTGTGTTTTTAGTAGTCTAAAAATAAACTGTCAGTAAGGTCTATTTTGCTAAGGAACATAGTAAGTTTTGTTAGAAACAGCATATTTCGCTAGCAAGTTTTTTTCTTTTGTTGTACCAATGTTATTATTATTATTATTATTTATAGGTTATTATTATTATTATTATTTAATAGTAATTCCAGATTATTTATTACAGTTATTTAATTATTATTCCTGCTATATATATATATATTTAATTCCAGAGAGTTTATAAAATATAAATAGCATACATGAAAAATGAAAGGATAATGAGGCTGCAAAATCTTATAATAATTCTTGCTATAAAATTCTCTCCGTGTAACATCGTAAAAATAACAATATTAATCCTCTCACATGGTAGACTCTGACGTAGACTCTGCTACGTGTTGAGGATAATCGAATCTTAAAGAGAAATTTAATTACTTCTAAAACAACGACCATCGACTGCGAACATCTCCTCTACAAATCTCCTCTACAAACACGGAGACCGACAATTTATTAATTTTAATTGTATTCATCCAATTGTTTGTTTCTCACGTTTTCATTGTTTGGTCTTCAGGTTCGACTACTTCGCGCGGACGGTGCCGCCGGACACGTACCAGTCGATCGCGCTGGTGGACGTGGTGAAGAGCGCCAACTGGTCGTACGTCTCCACGGTGTACTCCGAGGGTAGCTACGGCGAATACGGCATCGAGGTGTTCACGCGTGAGGCCACCGAGCGAAACGTGTGCATCGCTGCGGCACTGAAGGTGCCGAGTGCCGCGGACGACAAGGTGTTCGACGACATCATCCAGCGACTGAACAAGAAACCAAACGCTCGCACGATCGTCTTGTTCACCCGCGCGGAGGACGCCCGCGGCATCCTCGAGGCGGCCAGGCGATCGAACCTTAGTCAATCGTTCCAGTGGCTGGCCAGCGACGGCTGGGGTCGACAAAGCAAACTCGTGGAGGGTTTGGAAGAAGAAGCGGAAGGCGCCATCACTGTGGAGCTGCAGTCGGAAAACATCCCCGGCTTCGACGAGTACATGGCGTCGCTTACTCCCGAGAACAACCGGCGGAACCCTTGGTTCGGCGAGTACTGGGAGGAGGTGTTCGGCTGTATCTTGCGGAAGAACTCGCCCAGTATAGAGCGCATCAGCCAGCAGAGTGTCATCGGTGGTTCACGGGGTAATTTGTTGAACCAAAGCTCCGTGTGCTCGCCCAAGCTCAGGTTGACCGCTGCGAGCGGCTATGAGCAGGAGTCGAAGGTGCAGTTCGTTGTGGACGCGGTGTACGCGTTCGCCTTGGCGCTCAACAACCTGCGCAACGACCTCTGCGGCCGTAGCGAAGGCCTGTGCGCGCCGATGACCAACTACGACCGCGGCGCGTTCTATAGGAATTATCTGCTGAACGTGTCCTTTGTGGGTGAGTGAGTCATTCGTGCGAATGCGAACGAGCCGGGAGTCTGCTCATAATAAAACCTCCACGCGAATAATCGAACGGAGCGAGCGCGCACTGCCGATTGTTCGCGCCTTTGTGCACCGTTTTTCCGCCGCCCGTTGCTCTCTTCTTCGCTTTTCTCTCGTTCTATCCTGCCTCCTTTTAGCCGTCCTTTGTTCCGCGTATTATTAAAGGAATAATGTTCCGGAATACCGCCGGCTGTCTTTAACGCGCTCAAGCCCTGCGAGCGCGCGATAAACGGACGTGTCCTCGTATGATTTCCACCCCGCTCTCCTCATACAGATGTTTCGCTCTATGAACTATCCCCGTTGGAAAGTAATTAGCTCCGGCAGAGAGAGTGAGCGCCCATTTGGCTCCTCAAGTCGCGGACAAAGTTCCGCATCAGCCTTGTTTCACATTACCACCTCGCGCCACTTGGCACATCTCTCCCCTACATTTTTATTACATTATTATTACTATTTTTATATATTACATAATAAGGTAATAATATGTCATTAAAAATCGTAATAATAATAGAATGAAAGTATTTTCCACTGAGAGGAACTCAAATCCAGAAATCTCACATGAGACATGCTTTAAATAACCCAAGACGAGGAGTGTTATCGTTTGACGCGGCTTTCCGATTTCCACACGACCTCGCGAGTTCTAAAGAACAGAACTTTCGCGGAACTCGAGATGAACCGGGAGACCATCGCCGCGCTCCTTATCCATTTCGTCCACTTAAACTTAGTTCGTCTCTTACTTTCAATCGTCAATTATTCAGAGACCGCGCCGATGTACCCTGGCGGTTTTATGGGGGAGGGGGG